CAACCGTTGGTCTTACGATGATGTTCAGGTTCAATCTCGTCGTCATTTTCTTTCAATTTTTTAGTACTTTGTTTTTTCCTGCTATTTGTTATGCGGATGATAAAGAGAATGAAATTTATGTTCTTCGGTATTTATTTGTTTGTTGTTTTACCTTTGTTTTGCGTAGAAAGGGTAACTAATCTACTTGGAATGTCAGGTAATTGGAGATTAACGAGGTTTATTAGGGGTTTAGCAATTAAGATAAGATGCTTAACAATGTGGAAGGATTAGGAATTTATCCTTGTTCCGTTGCACTTAGATGCAGTACAAATGGTTGAGATCTTTAATCTTCAATAGAATTGGTAATTGTTTTGCAATTGAGTTCATGAGAGAATGCGTGAATGACTGGGCTGGTAAAGGGACTTGGTTATGTTTGTATAATATGCTACATTTACATTGTTTTTTTTTTTTTTTTTTTGCATTACTAGTTACTTGCAATTATATGAAATTGATTCTGCTAAAGTTTTAATTTTGTTCATGACATGATGCCTTTCTAATTTAATTCTATCAATCTCACCCTAATAAATGCCCCCTTATATGTTTTGTTGGAATGATATCTTTGATGTAGGTTAATGACTTGTCTGTCGATGATTATATCACTGCCACTGCAGCCAAGCATCCTACCTACACACCACACACTGCAGGTCGGTACCAAGCCAAAAGGTTCAGGAAGGCCCAGTGCCCTGTCGTGGAGAGGTTGGTCAATTCACTGATGATGCATGGAAGGAACAATGGGAAGAAGCTTATGGCAGTTCGAATTGTTAAGCATGCTATGGAAATCATTCATTTGTTGACAGACCTAAATCCTATTCAAGTGATTGTTGATGCTGTGATCAATAGGTTGTCTTTTCATTCTTTATTTTGCGTGTATATTGTTCAATAATTCCCTTTCTTGTTTTGTCATGATTGCATCTATTCATATTGTTTTTGGTTCCTCTTGTATGATGTTTACTTAAGTCTGTTTTGATATGTACAATTTATAGCATGTAATTTTAACTGTTTAAGATCTTCATAAGATCACAACTTTTAGACTCGCATAAATGAAGCAAGCATAATTGTGTGGCTGACAAATGGAATATGGATGAAATTAGCAGTGTACATTTATTTTTTATTGGGGATAGGATTGGGATACTTCATTGAACCCTAATCTTTGCTTTAACCATTTTTGTATATTTATTGTTTTTGAGCTACTTTCGTAATTATCTATCCATAACCTTTTGTATTTTCCTTTTCTATATTCATGCAGTGGCCCAAGAGAAGATGCTACTCGAATTGGTTCTGCTGGTGTTGTGAGACGTCAGGCTGTTGATATTTCTCCTCTCCGTCGTGTGAACCAAGCAATCTACCTCATAACAAGTGGTGCCCGCCAGAGTGCTTTCAGGAACATCAAGACCATTGCTGAGTGCCTTGCAGATGAACTCATTAATGCTGCCAAGGGGTCTTCCAACAGGTAATATATGATGTTTTATCAAGTACTCCTTCCGTCTTATTTTATGTATCTGGTTAACGGTTAACGAGACTTCAGTGTTATTTTTAATTTAATTTTTCATAATATTAAGTTTAGTATTAGTATATGAAATTTATATATTTAGAAACTACATTAAAAGTACTATGAAACACAACAAATTAAATTTAAAAATAGTAAAGAAAGTAAGCAAAGAAGAAATAGTTGGTTTGACTAATGAATAATAAACAGACAGGTTAAATGGGATAGAGAGAGTAGTTGGTTTTGCCATATGTTTTCAATTTGTCATTGATATGGCACCTACATTTTCTAACATTTAAACCTACCCCAAATTTGTAACGAATGAACACCCATATTTTGATGTTGTCATTTAGGAGTGTTAACCTGGGTCGCTGTGGAATTACTATATCCGATCTGTTTTTACCCAGTGCTAGACCATAAATTAAAAATCAATGCTGTCTTCATATTTCTAATTCATCCAATGGTCTTCACATCTTCGAGGCGTTAACCTCTTTTTTTTCAATGCAATGATGGAGAAAAAAGTGAATATATTCAAGATTTGACTACCATAGAATCCTACCAAAACACCATTAGCCTCCTATTATCCCCAGAGGCCAGAGCAAAGATGCAGATGGGCATATGGTTAATATGCCTTCCCATGAACAAGTGCACATGCACTTGTATGTATAATGTTTGCACTTTATTCAATCTGCAGCCCCCTGATTGATGATCTCTTCCCATTTTACTTGCAGTTACGCAATTAAGAAGAAGGATGAGATTGAGAGAGTTGCCAAGGCCAACCGTTGAAGAGTTGTTCTCATGCATAATCCAGGACTTTATTTGAAATATTTATACTTTTTTGTTACTTGTTGTGGCAAGTGCTTTAGTGTCTAAATTTTGTTTTGCTTGATTAAGTTGGTTATTTTGAGATATTTTTTTTTTATAAATCCTTGAAGATACTCTCTTTATTCATTAAATTAGAGAATGGACTACTGAACTGGATATTATCAAGTGATAATAGAGATCTCATTTATCATATCTATAGCTACATATGTTCATATCTCTTTGTTTTAATTTGTTGTTAATTTCACATGGTAGCTCATTGCATAGCATAGCTATTTTAATCACACTGCACTTTATGAAGACGTGCATTGCTCAGTAGGGCGATAATTAAAATTTTAAAATATATAATAATTATATATATTCAAAAAAATCAAACAGTTTTTGGTTCGGTTTAATTTTTAACTGTACGGAACCAAAACTGTTCAGTTTGCTAAAACCAGAATTATTTGTTTCTGAGTAAAAATTAAAAACTCTAAACTAATAGTGTATATAATTAAACTCTATAAGATTAAGAATATGAATTTTCAATTTGGAGCTCAACAAAGATCCAATCTAAAGCTTGGAAATGTTGTAAGATGTAAATAAAAATTGAGCTTAGAAGGCCATTGTTGTTTAGCAAAGTGAAAATTTGGAGAATTTTTTGAATAAGTAAGCAATTGAAGAATTGGAAAATTCAATATATTGTTAACTTTCTCTATTTTTTTTATAGTTTTTATTTTATTTTTTCCTTTTTTTTTTTTTTTTGTTTTTGTTTTTTTTTTTGTTTTCATGTATTTGGAGAACTCCTAAACATAGTTGGAAAATGTAGATGAAACCCTGTTCCCCTTTTACATGTCTCCCATCATTTTTCGTTCACATATTTGTAATTTTCGACAAAGTAATAATGATTGTTGGTAAGCATATTTTTTTATACTAGAAAACGGAAAATAGCAAATGAAAATTTGTAAGTTATGTTCTTTGGTTGTGAGCACATGCAATTCAAAAGTTAATTTCTCAAAGAATCAATATATAGTTGTATCTAATTATTTGATTAGTTATATAATATTATTCATTGAATTAGAATGGACTATTGAACTATTGATAATAGAGATCTCATTTATATATCATATCTATAGATATAGATACATATCATGATAATATATACATTTCTCATTTAGGCTTGCAATTGTTATCTCTTTGTTTTTTAATTTGTTAATTTCACATGATAGTTCATTACATAGCACAGCTATTTTAAGAGTTAATTCCCCTATCAAAAAAAAAAAAAAAAAAAAAAAAAAAAAGAGTTCATTTTCAAAAGAGTCAATACCTTAAATAGTCCCTCGACTATGTCGTAATTACCAATTTAGTCCTCGACTATCATTCTTACCCAATTAAGTCATCAACTATACAATTTTTACCCAATTTAGTCCTTTGTCAATTTGACTGTTTGTTGACTGTCAAAAGTGGAAATAAAGTTGTAATTTTACAGGTTTTCTCCTTCCTCCTCATTTAGCAGCGCCAAACCATGTAGCAATAAGCTCCGGTTGGGTTCTAAACCTGACAGTATCGAAGTAGTGGTTATGCATCGGATAGCCCATGAATTTGATTTCCAACGATTTTTTGACGATCGAAATCTGATCGGAGTGTATTGTTGCATGGTTTGGCGCTGCTAAATGGAGAGGAAGGAGAAATCTTGTAAAATTATAATTTTATCCCGACTTTTGACAGTGAACAAACAGTCAAATTAATACAGAGGACTAAATTGGGTAAGAATTGTATAGTTGAGGACTAAATTGGGTAAGAATTGTATAGTTGAGGACTTAATTGAGTAAAAGTTACATAGTTGAGGACTTAATTGGGTAAGAATGGTAATTGAGGACCAAATTGGTAATTATGACATAGTCGAGGGACCATTTTGGATATTAACTCTTTTCAAAATGGTCCTTTGACTATCGTATTTTTTCAAATTAGTTCCTTGACTTTTAATTGCACCCAGAGTAGTCTTCCGACTATTGAATTTTAAGTCAAAATGGTCCTCCGTTAGCTTTGGTGTTAAGCGTTAAAATGAAGGGCAAAAGGAACAATTTTTAGTCAGAGGACAAAGAAATAGCACATTTATCCCTTTAAGAATTGAATATGACGAATTTTCGGGATCTCCCAATTATATAAGACTTTGTTGCAATTCACTAGGAGAGAGAAGACCCCATAAATCGAGTCGGCGAGGAGTCATTTTTCTCTCAAAATGTTGAATCCTCAACCCTATGTCCGATATATCATATCGGTGCGCACAAGGGATCTGTCACTTTAAACATAATTCTCATACTGTCATTGAACCTTAGTCTCTTCTCCTAAATACTACGAAGTACCTATTAAACTAGTGAGCTAAGCCCGAACGAGGGCAGAGTCATTCTTAATATATAAACTTAGATAAAGATAATAAAGAAAGAAAATACAATTTCACGTACTATATAATTCTAGGAGTTTTACTACATACACTCTCAAAATTCTACTCCCTCATTTATACTCCGGGTTACTTTCATCATGTGGGTCCACAAAAAAATGTCTACATTAAAAGCATGTGAGAATGAGTACAAATTATTGAGAATTTAAAATGGGAGTACACCAAGTATTTTCCTAATTCTAAAACAAGTAATCAAAAACCAAATTAAAATACTCATTCATTATTCCCCCAATATGCACCTTCAATTCCCATGAAGAAATTTGGCTTTTCACCAACACTGTTCTCCTTAAATTTCGTGGTGGCGTCGACGGCCATGCCGGCATCGGAGGCGGCCTTCTGAACTGACACCGGAGACATTCCTCGTCGAACGCCGGCCGTTAACCTCAACGTAGCGGCGGGGAAGTTCAACTTATCTAACGTCGTGGGTTCTCTGAGGCAAATATAAGCAACGTCGTGGGCGACGGCGGCCGCCTCCGCGGTGGCGTAGGTGCCTAGCCAAAGACGCTTTTGGGTGGCCGGAATCCGAATTTCCGACACCCACTTCCCCCACTTCCGACGCCGGACTCCTAAGTACTTCCTCTTCACCTCTTTCGACTTCATCATATCATTGGATTAAATTTGAGAAACTTTTTTTTTTTCTCAACAAATTAAAGTATGAACTTTAATGCATGGACCGGATGAGCTAATGAAGCACAACGTGCATGTATTTATAACAAAAAAATTATATAATTTGGAAAATTACGATTTTGACCTTGAGTTATCGGATAATAACGAATTTAGTCTACACCTTATGACTGTTTTGATCCCTCGACCATGTCGTAATTATTAAATGAGTAAATACCCAAAATGGTCCCTCGACTATAGCTAAATTCACAAATTGGTCCTCAACTTTCAATTTCACCCAATTAAGTCCTTAACTTTGCAATTTTGACACGATTTGGTCCTCCATCTAATTGACCGTTTGTTGACCGTGATCGACGATCTCCAGAAGAACCTTCAGCTCTCGTCGGAGCACGTGGAGGCCTCCAGGATGACGTTGCACCGGTACGGAAATACGTCGTCTTCTTCGCTCTGGTACGAATTCAACTACATTGAATCGAAAGGGAGGATGAAGAAGGTGACCGGGTTTGGTAGATTGCTTTCGACAGTGGATTCAAATGTAACAGTGCGGTCTGGAAATATAACCGGAACCTTAACAAACCGACGATGAACCATGAAATTACATATATATCCTCAAAAATCACAGTCAACAAACGGTCAAATAGATAGAGCACCAAATTGTGTTAAAACTACAAAGTTAAGGACTTAATTGGGTGAAATTGAAAATTGAGGACCAATTTGTGAATTTAGCTATAGTCGAGGGACTATTTTGGGTATTTACTCCTATTAAATTGGTCATCGACTATCAATTTTGACCAATTTAATCCTCAACTATTGATTTTGTAACTGATTTGATCCTTCGTCAAACTGATCGAGGACCAATAATTATAGAGGACCAAATCGACTATGAAATCAATTATTGAGAATTTAATTGGTCAAAATTGATAATCAATGACCAATTTAGTAATTACGGCATAATCGGCGAACTAAAACGGTCATTAATTCTGAGTATCATTACGTTTAATTTCTGAGGTGCCGGCAAAGTGAAATGTTTGGTCCTTCTATTAATGGATTTATAAAAATATAAATATAAATATTGTGTTACTCTTCAAATATATATTAGTTGACTAGTGCTTTCAAAAAAAATATATTAGTTGACTAGAGCTGTTAAATAAAGTTCAACTCACATTTTTCTTTTTCTCTAAATAACACTTTAATTTCATACTTTAGTGATTAGAAATACAAATCATTGACCTCTATTTGTATGACCTTATAAAATTTATATTATTTTAATGAAGGTCAGTAATTTACTTTTTTGCATTTTTACAGCAAAATTGTGAAACTGTGATTTGAGTGAAAGAAGATAAATAAGAGCATGTAAAGTTCTATTACTAGTTCAAATTAATTAAAATATTTGAAAAATAAATATAAATTTTAATAAAACCAATAACTAAAGTATCAAAAATGTCACTTTAATTTATTGACAATTTAGGAATTAAAAGTAGTAACATGCATGTATAATATACGAATTAAATCTATTATTAACTTATATAAGTTAAAAATCATTAAATCAAAAGTATAATAATAATAATAATAATAATAATAATAATAATAATAATAATAATAATAATAATAATAATAATAATAATAATAATAACTTTAAGAAATAATGTTCAAATAAATCATTAAATAATACATGATAATACAATTGAGTTATCCAACCTAAAAAGAAAGCGTATCAGCAGCTTTATATCTGAAAATTTTGATATCACGTGAGTCATTTGACAAAAATCATATCAACTTTTTTTTTTTTTTTTTTTTGAGAAAAATCAACGTTTTTTGACCCCCCAAAAAAAAAAAAAAAAAAAATCAACTTTTTCAGCTCTAATATCTGACCATTGAACGAAGGTTTTGCAAAATTGACTGTAAGATGGTCAACACTTCAAACATACGGAGTATATAATATCAAATCAACTTTAATTAATTAGTCCCCACATGCTACTTAGCTTTAGTACAGCTCTTGACTTTCTCATCATCAACATTATTATTATTATTATTATTATTATTATTATTATTATTATTATTATTATTATTATTATTATTATTATTATTATTATTATTATTATTATTATTATTTTTTTTTTTTTATTATTATTATTATTATTATTTATTATTATTATTATTATTATTATTATTATTATTATTATTATTATTATTATTTATTATTATTATTATTATTATTATTATTATTATTATTATTATTATTATTATTATTATTATTATTATTATTATTATTATTATTATTATTATTATTAATTATTATTATTATTATTATTATTATTATTATTATTATTATTATTATTATTATTATTATTATTATTATTATTATTATTATTATTATTTATTATTATTATTATTATTATTATTATTATTATTATTATTATTATTATTATTATTATTATTATTATTATTATTATTATTATTATTATTATTATTATTATTATTATTATTATTATTATTATTATTATTATTATTATTATTATTATTATTATTATTATTATTATTATATTATTATTATTATTATTATTATTATTATTATTATTATTATTATTATTATTATTATATTATTATTATTATTATTATTATTATTATTATTATTATTATTATTATTATTATTATTATTATTATTATTATTATTATTATTATTATTATTATTATTATTATTATTATTATTATTATTATTATTATTATTATTATTATTATTATTATTATTATTATTATTATTATTATTATTATTATTATTATTATTATTATTATTATTATTATTATTATTATTATTATATTATTATTATTATTATTATTATTATTATTATTATTATTATTATTATTATTATATTATTATTATTATTATTATTATTATTATTATTATTATTATTATTATTATTATTATTATTATTATTATTATTATTATTATTATTATTATTATTATTATTATTATTATTATTATTATTATTATTATTATTATTATTATTATTATTATTATTATTATTATTATTATTATTATTATTATTATTATTATTATTATTATTATTATTATTATTTATTATTATTATTATTATTATTATTATTATTATTATTATTATTATTTATTATTATTATTATTATTATTATTATTATTATTATTATTATTATTATTATTATTATTATTATTATTATTATTATTATTATTATCATTATTATCATTATTATCATTATTATCATTATTATCATTATTATCATTATTATCATTATTATCATTATTATCATTATTATCATTATTATCATTATTATCATTATTATCATTATTATCATTATTATCATTATTATCATTATTATCATTATTATCATTATTATCATTATTATCATTATTATCATTATTATCATTATTATCATTATTATCATTATTATCATTATTATCATTATTATCATTATTATCATTATTATCATTATTATTATTATTATTATTATTATTATTATTATTATTATTATTATTATTATTATTATTATATAAAATCACATCCAACTTAACACAATATGGCCATATGCCGGTGCACACAAGGATCTGCCCACTTTGTGCCCCACACTACCACTGTCAAGTTTCGAACTTTTGCCTCTTCACCCAAATACTGTCTACTAAATCATTAAGCTCAGCCCGTGCGGGCTAATCTTTTTTCCTTTTTGGTATTATTGATCCTGTTACATGTAGTATCTATTTATATATATTTTCTCGACCTACTCAAGCCTAACAAGTCAATACCGCCTCTCGTGTAGGCTAATACGGAGTATAATCTATTGTAAATCTATAATATCGTATAAGAGCTCCTATTGTTAATTATAATAGAAATACAAAAAAATATATGTATTGTATTGTAAAATTTTGTTTCTTATACTCTCACAAATATTTTTCAGTTTTACCATTTTTCTTTTTAATTTTCCCTTCACATAGTAAATATAACTGTGTGAAAATCAAAATTATTCTGGTGAAATAATTAAATTGCATTGGTAGCTTATATATTCTGTTCTTTTTTTCTTATATTTTTACAAATGCTTTTCAATTTTACCCACATCTTTTCAATTTTTCCTTCGCACCATTAAACTAACAAAATGTGAAATTCATTGTTCAAAGTCTTTTTGAAGTAGGTTATTATAAGTCTTTTTGTTTAATGCTTTTCACCTATCTAAATTATGACATCCTAGTCAACTCAGCATCAATGTACGTGTATGGTGGTATATATGTGGGAGGTAAGCACTTTGGAGCAACGAAACAAGTTTTTTCTTGGTTTTTTGCAAGTGGAGAAAGGAGAGAGACGGAAAAATAATAGAAAAAAATAAGCCTGTCCAAAAAAAAATATTGATTTACTGTTTACATATTCACTGGGCACAGTTAGTGCGCGTTTCACGCTCCAACGCGAATTTTAAAAAATAAAAATAAAAATTGTGAGATCCACAAAGAAACTTTACTTCTTGTAAATATATATATTTTTTCTCTTTCATTTCATCCACCCTCTCTCCTTTATTTCACCATCTCTTTCTTTCATGTCACAGAAAAACTAAGAAAAAACTATTGATGACCTTACTCTTGGTAAAATATTAAAAACTATTATGTTATTGATAAGTATTCCAAACTTTGGACGACTTAATAATATAGTTTCACATAAAACTTATTTCCCAAAACCTAATACGCATCTGTTATTATTGGCTCTTAGCTATGTGCAAGTTGTTGTAAAAAAAAAAAAAAAAAAAAAAAAAAAAAAAAAAAAAAAAAAAAAAGGTAATTGAAAATCAATCTACACAATAAGAATGAGATGAAAATCAAATTTAAAAAGGTAGAACAGTAACTTGTGACATTTAAAATAATCTAAACATGATAGGAGCTGAGGACATATAAAAATAAAAAGCGAAAATTGCCGAACATATTTACACTTTAGTACGTGCTAGGTTCTTCTTAACTTCCCTTGGAA